GGGGGAGTTTGTTTTATAATAAAAAAAAAAGAGACGGGGGAAAAGTTATGTTGTGTTAAAAATATTTTTTTTTCCCCTTTTTTTTTTTTTTTATTTTGATTTTTGTTTTTTTTTCTTTGGGGGGGGGTGCCCAAAAACACAAAAAAAGATGAGGGAAAAAATGCCCCCCCCCCCCCCCCGAAAAAAAAAATTAGGAGTTTTTACGCCAGATTCATCCCTAAGAATTGATTTGGACAGTTTCTCGGATAAAAATTACAATACAAGTAAATAATTTAGAGTACTTCAGACTGTATTTTCTGTAATTTTTTTATTCATTTCATAACAGGCAGTACAGGCTTAAATTAACGGACTTACTGACAACAACATGTAGAAAGCCGATGGAAACTATTATCTAAGTGAAACATTTCTCATATTATTCTAATTCAAATTCTTGACATCTGATTGGCTGAGAATGAGTGACTTGATGAATCAGCAATTAAAATTAGGCCGAAATTTAGCTATGGCCACATGTTTTTCTTTTCTTTTTTCCTGGTTAGTATCAAAACCTTCACTTAATTACATTAGTTTGAAACTAATATAGCTCTATTTATTATTTAACTACCTTGTTCAAGAAAGCTGCAATAGCAAAAAAATTAAATTATCAAGGGAAGCATCGCAACTTGACACTGTTGTTAGTCAGTTACTGCCTATATAGCCTCCAGTAAGCACGATTGAAGTAATTGGCATCAGCTCCTAATGTAGGGGGTCCTTTCAATCGTGACCATCCACGACCCTCTTCTCTTCGACTATTGCCTTTAAGCTTCTCTCCATCTTGAAGCATATACCTCTGCGTCGCAATGTTTTCAATAAAGTACTTGTTATCACTTACTGGCAGGAATCTCCAGTACGCACGGTCTTCGTAGTTGTCATCAGCTCCAACAACAGGCGGTGATTGAAATCCCGTGGACTCTTGCCACCCATTTTCGTCTCCTCGATCGCCCGTAATCTTTGGACCGCTTTGAAACAAGTACCTCCTGGTCTCCACGTTTTCAATTAAGTACTTGCCCTCGCCTTGAGGAAGCAACCTCCAGTATGTTCGATTGTAGAAGTTCGAGTAAGCTCCAACCGCAGGTGGCGCTTCACGTCCAGTTTCTTCCAACCATCCTCCTTCATCTCCTCGCTTCTCAATCCTCTCTCCCTCCATATACAAGTAGCGCATTGTCTCGTAATTTTGAATGATGTAGGTTCCTTCATCAAGGAAACAAGTCATGTTGATGATGACCTATCTTTAACTGAAGAGCAGCACAGGAAAGGTTTCGTTCAGTCTCACTGACTTCAAACTGTGGCGTAGCACTTGTTGCTCGACCATTTATGGATTTCGTCTTTGTGGCTACAAACCACGGACCTATGGGAACAGAAATCCAAACTCGAAAACAAAAAACCACTAACCCGAGACAGAAACACCCAGGCCAAAAGGGAAACCCAAAACCAGTAAACGAAAGACACAACCAGAAACTAAAACACACAAAGGTGACGAAAACATATTTCTGGACAAGGAAGAACAAAAAGCAAAACAAAACAAAACAAAACATAAACATGAATAGGAAACAGAATCAAAATCGCAAAAGTCCAAAAACAGAAACCCAAAATATAAAACAGGCAGGCTATGTA